TTTTTGGACAACCACGCAAATGTATATTGATTTTACACTCTTATTCCCAAACTATATTAGCTACTTGTTTTAGAAAATCAAACGGACCAGCAGGCACCAACGGCCCAGAGGAGACCGGCGGTACCAGGCCAGCCCAGCTGGCGAGCGCAACCGGCGGCCCAGCGCCTGAGACCGGTCGGCGGCCAATGCCATGCCACCACCGCCCGGCCCGATCGGCACTGATCCCGCCCAGTGACGGCGCCAGTGGCGACGGCCCACCTGTGAATCTGCTGCCCAAAGCGAGGTGGCACGCGATCAAGCCCAAACAATGCCGCCCAGCAGGCAGTGAGGCGACCAACGCGGCATGGAGGTGGCTTATTTACGAAATGACCTCTACACTTTTCTCTAATCAATCCTAGGTCCATAGTACTGTTCAATGAGTCATGTATTTTGCAAAAAAGGACCCCGTATAATTCTTTGACTTGGATTCTCACCCCTCACCTTCCTTCCCATTTCCAGAAGCGAAACGACGGCTTGAGGAGGCCGGGACGGCGGGGCCCAAATGCCAGACCACCCAGAGCTAGACAGTAGCCCGGCCCATGGAGAGGGCAGCCGGAAAGTGGAGCAAGCGTGGCACGGCGGCGAAGGCGGCTGCTGGCGTAAAGGCTGTGAAGCGAGCGAAGGTGGGTGGAGCAAGGGGCCAGCACACCGGGAAGCAGGAAGCGGACATGGCGGGAGCGGCATAACAATGAGGCAAACACTGAACGCATCTTCGGCGTATGGCGTGGAACATCGGCGCTGACTGAAATGCTTCGGCACGATGGCTGGCTGCAGACAGCGTGGCACTGGCGACTCAGAGCGGTACCACGTGGGCTTTGATCGCGGCGCAGACCGCACGAGTGGGGAGCTGCGGCTCGGGTGGCGGACGGTGGCAACATCATCGAGGACAATGGCCTTGACGGGCTCGACCAACTATGGCGATTAAAGTTCCGCTAAAATACCAAATTTTTCAAGATTCTTCGTCACATCGAATCTTTGCATGCATGCATGAAGCATTAAATATAAATAAAAAAATAAAACTAATTACACAGCTTTAGCGAAATCACGAGACGAATTGTCGGTTGTTTCGTACAAGCACCGACAAGTGAATTTATAGTAATCTGGCGTCGGCTTGATGGTGCGCTAAAGGACACAGATTTATCTTTGGTTCGGTAAACGTCCCCTACGGTCCGGTTTTGTCTTCGCTTGTGTTATTAGCACCGTGAACGATCGTAGTAAGGGATACAAACGGCGAGAGAGGGACCGGTCCCAAGTCTCTCGATCGAAGGATTGAAAGGTGGTCAAGAGCTTCGTCAGCCGCTTGAAGTGTGTGAGTGCGTTCTATTGTTTTGTCCTCCTTTTTCTTCCGGCCCCCTTGATGGGAAGCGCATCTTTACCAACTATGCGGCTTTACAATTAAGCGAGAGCGTACTCTACTTAGGTGTGGCTCACGAGAGGGGTCCTCCACTGATGAGTGCGAAGGAAGAAGTGCAGCTCGGGATGTCGGTAGTAAACGCGGATGGGCGGCAAAGTTTTGACTTATGAACGCCACTCTCGCCTTCAGTTCTCATGAGTCCTCGCTGGGAGAATGCGCATGGAGCCAAGCACAAGAGACCAGAGGCAGGGGGAAGTAGTGGCATCGAGACAAGGCATTAACCCATCGCTCATGGAGACAATCGGAGATATCTTCGGGGCTTGGCGTGTCCGCGCACAAAAATGGGTGGTCAACCCCAAGCGGTGCCCTAATACCTTTTGGGCTGGCGCTTGGGAAGGGTCTAAAAAGCAAAGCAAGGTATGGTCGTTGGAGCCATGGTTGACCCGAACGCCTTGTCTCGTCTCGCCCCATTAAAGGAAGCGAGGCTCGGCGGGGGGCCACCTCACAAGTCTCACCCTCGGGCGAGACCGAAGAAGCAGGCGGTGAGAGCTTGAAAGATAAGATTAGCCTTGAGCGTTTAGATGGCGAAAATTTTTGGTTTTGGCTACTGTAGCACTTTCATTTGTATTTGACAATTAGTGTCTAATTATAGACTAATTAGGTTCGAAAGTTTAACTCTCATGATTTCTCCAGGGATGACATGGAGCCCTTATGCATATAATTAGTTTTTTTTCATCTACATTTAATACTCCATGCATACACCACAAGATTCGATGTGACATCTTAAGTTGAAAATTTTTAGAATCTAAACATGACCTAAATCAAAAGTAATAGAAGACTAGCTACCAGCTATGAGCAGCTCGGAAGACACAAACACGTATGGCAGTGAAGAAAATAGGGAGTGCAGACTTTTACTACTAGCCAGTGATCACGTGAACAAAAGTTCTACAAACTGCACCTAGCAGGGGGGACCATCGCCCAGGATGGCCTCCACGTAGCTCCGCCAGTGGAGCCGGGTGCAGTGCAGCATGACGTGGTTGCATGTGCATGCACTGCTTGCTGATACTTGTTTGCTTTGGAAGTTTGCTATGGAATGATACGACGGAAAGCCAGGCAGAGAGCAGAGAAAAGAAAAGGCAAGTAAGACCTTGTTTAGATTGAAAAAAAATTCAATCTGATAAATAGTAGCATTTTCGTTTTATTTAGTAAATATTGTCCAATCGTGGACCAACTAAACTCAAAAGATTTATCTCAGTGATCGGAAGACAAAACGTGTGGCAATTAGTTATTTTTTTTACTACTAGCCAGTGATCACGTAGACAAAAGTTCTACAAACTGCTCGTAAAAATTGATGTGATAGAGAGAGAGTGAAAAAACTTGGAATTTTGAGGGTATCTAAATAAGGCCTAAGAGAGGAGCAGATCAACTAGCATACTAGGACAGATAGAGACGTTTACAGCTACACAAGGAGTGTGTTTGCCGTTTAATCATTTTTTTAATTCTTTATATCAGAGTTATCGTCGTAACGTGTATATATATATATATATATATATATATATATATATAACGGTTTATTTGCAACGTCTAGGCACCGGAAAATTTTAGCAAAGCACCAATTTAAATTTGATTCAAAAGCTATATATATGTATATCGTTCTATTTATTAATGGTTTTTTTATTTATAAAAGTGGTTTTCCTACTTAATCTAACAGAACAACTCGTTCGCTAGCATCGTTGTTTGACATTCCTAAATATTTCTACGCACTAAGTAATTTAACTTGAGCGTTGATTCGAGTCCGCGAAACTAAGTCACACAAGATTCGCTTATCGCCTCAAGTACGACTTAAATTAAAAACCTGAGAAATTCGTTTCGGAAATTTTTCTTAAGCCTAAATCGCGGTGCTAAATAAGATCGTAACACCGGGTGTTACAAAAACACTGCCAGGAATCTGATTCACACCGACCAGATGGAGATCCGTTGCACTTGCCCGATCTACTTTTAAAGCATCCGGATGCAACACTTGCGATATACAAAAGAAAATAGATGAAACTTGAAACATGCTTTTAAGACACTTACAAAAACATCTAAGAAACACTTGAAAAAATATTGCAAACATACACATTCTTCAAATAAAACACTTGCAACATATGTGTGAAACGTATATAACATCCGGATAAACAAACTTGCAACAATACGTCAAAAAACACGGATGAAACATTGGTAGCGGACCTTTACATCATACGTGTAGAACCATTCCAACGTATGCAATATCTATCTTAAAACACCTAACGTACCTCTAAAATATCTGAAACACTTAAACATACGCTTGCAACATGGATTTTCATCACATCGCAACATCTCCTTGCTGCTTGGGAGAACGGAGGCTCGTCGGCGTATGGAGTTCGCTGGAGGCAGCAACATGGGGTTTGTAGGCAGCGGCTTTGCAGCACTTGTAGGCGGCGGGCAGGGAGGTAGCGGCCGCGTGACGCGCCTGGGAGGCCGGCAGCCAAGCGCCAGCGACTCGTAGGCGGCCGCGCGACCGAGACTGAGAGAGGGCAGCCATGCGTCGCGCCTGGTTGGACCGGCAGTCAAGCGCCGCGTGCAGGACCCTAGCGGAGCAAGGCGTGTGGGAATGATTTGTTTTAGAAACGGATGAGCGGATAATGGACAGTATGGAAAAAAAGTAGAATGCAAGATGGCCAAATCGCTCTGCACTACTGCAGTGGCGTGTCCCAATCTGCTGCTGGCGTTACTTTTCTTTACTTGTTTCGTCGGTCAAATTAGGCATGTGATAAACCTTTTATGTAGGGCTCCGTGTGGTAAGCGCCTAACACAGTAACACCAACCTTGATACAGTGAGGGCACTAATCGCTATCGCTATGTCTACTGACTACTGCTGGTATGAATTTTGTTTTCAGACTGATTTGAGTGGAAGGAATTTTGTTTTCAGACTGATCCTTGTTTTCTACTAGTGAAGGCGCGCGCGCGCGCGCATTCGTAGGCATAGAAAAAATTTTGAGCAGAGAAAATGTGGTGAGCTATACGGTATATAGATACATTCTGAAGATGTGTATATAACATGTGTTTCTGTGCCCGCAGACGTTTTACAATCTCATATTTGTGCTCTGAAAAATAGAAAGAAACACTTAACTTGTTACGCTTTTTTACTGCCCTGTTCGGCTTACCCCATATTCAGCTTATTCGGCTTCTTTTTCAGCCAAAACAGTGTTTTTCTCTCACAACAATTCAGCCGAAACAATATTTTTCAACCAGTTTCAGCCAAGTTTCAGACCAGCGATTTATTATCTAGACTTCGGATCTAACCTAGATGCTAGAACAAGATGGCTATTCAAGTCTAGCCTCGATGAGGTTCTTGTTCACTGTGAGTTTGTACAGAGTTAGTTCCACCTTTATCACTTCAATTGCGGCCAATATTTTTTGTAATCCCGCCCTGTAGGAAGAAACAAAATTCAATCAAGTATGTAATGTAGAAGTTCTGGGGCTTCTGTCCTGATCATTACTTGGGTGATACTGTCATCAAAGAGACGTAAACCTGTTAGAGGTAAATGTGGACTGAAGTTGCAATCACAATAGCCTCAATCTCATACTACTTGGCAGCCGAACCAGAGGAGACACCATCACCAGGACTTTTAGTGGCTGGCAATGATTCTCCTGTTAGCACAGACCACAATAAGATGAGACAAAAAAAAATGTGAGATCAAGAGACCCAATAGGATCAAATAAAGTGTGGAAGTGACTGAATGTCAAAGATATAAAGGACCCCATTGCTCTTCAATGGATCTCCGTGAAGGAAGGATCCGAGCATCTGCAGGAATGACATGTCTAAGTTTAATGCTGATTATGTCCCCAGGCGGCCCAAGGGCCATCATGAAGCGCCTATTCACCAGTAAGAAACATTAGTTCAGATTTGAAATAGGCACCGTAAAGAATTTTAAATAGGCATTCTAGAATTTTGTTCAGCAGTAATCATTTGTATCCTCTTAAAATGATTATCTAGTAGGACTCTATAAGCAGATAAGGATAGTTTGAGAAGCAATGGCGCTAATCCATATTTATCCTCCCAAAATAATTTTGTAGTTGGTATGGACGGTTCGGACAAACAATGGCACTGTTGATTTTTGAACATGCAGGAAGCACTCAAATCTGCAAGGGGTCTGAAGTATGAAGCAGTCTGTAAATGAAATGCTCATCCTATTATAAATTAAATCCCTATCCTTCTTTTCTATCCCTGTGCAAGTAACTGATCTGTGAATTAATTCCGAGCAGATCATATGGGGAAAAGGAACATTATTTGTAGCAAGGACTAAAGTAAACAATCCTGAAACTAATATAGACACAGATCAGGCTTGTGAAGGAATGCATACCTTGAATTGCTTTGTTGGAAATGATGCATCCGAAGGTAACTATCCATCTGAATACACCTAATATGATTCGAACACAGAAGCATTACATCTGTTAATTTACAGGTCATAATCAAAGATTTTATGCAAGAAAAGGAAGCGAAAGAAATATATGTTAGTGCCACAATATTGGTTCCCTGGAGACAGTAGTTGTGAAAGGGAAAAAATCGAACCAAAAAAATAACAAACAATATATTCCAACTCTCCAGTGGACAAAAGAACCGGAACACAAATCATAAGATATGAACTGAATACATGGAACTTTCACAGGAGCATATACGATGGTTTGAAATTTGAGGATATTAGTGTCAATGTCAGGAAAAGAGGGATCATAAACATGAAACCTAAAGATGGTCAGCCTTACTTCTATGAAGCTTAGGTGAATTTCTAAGCATCAATAGTCACAACACACCAAGTTCTATGAAGCTGTTGCAAGCTCAACAATCTCAAACAGAAGTCTTACACTTGTACTAAAAGATCTTATGCAATAATATGCACTCCCTGAAAACAGCAGCTGTGGAAGGGAAAAATCGTACCAACAAAGTAACCAACAATCTACTCCAAGTGTTCAGTGGAACCAGAATAAAGGTACAGAAAAAATCTCGAAGGAAAAAAGGAGTCAATTAAATCTTTTTTTTTTACAGCGTCCATGATGAACCAATAAGCTTCACCTTCTGCAATCTACACACAGAGAAAAAAAATTGGTTAGGGTAAAGAAAAATTCCATGTTACACTGTATAGCCAAAAAAAAAGTGACAGAAGGTAGAGCTGATTTGATTCTCGAAATCCTGTGTGTGGCACTGTAAATAAATAAATAACATTACCTCAAAAAGACTCATTTGAACATCAACATCAACCAACAGATTTTCTGGATGCCAGAGTACTCCTCTCCTAAATTCTGTGAGTTTACCTAAGACAATTACACTGCATGAGACAAACAGAGAGGCATCACACACCGATCTTATGAATAGAAGCGTCGTACAGAAAATACAAAAGTTTACATTTTTGAACAACAAAAGACAATGTAAATGTGAGCGCACTAAAAATTGGAAACTATCAGTTGATGTGATCATGCAAAGGAAATACTACTACAGGTCTAAAACTATCAGAATAGCTTCATGAGGCTCCTGGTCCTATAAAAAAGGTTCCTTTGTGGATGGTTAAATAATATGTGAATTGCCGATGCACCCACACAGTCTTCTTTTCTTTAGAGGAGGTCCAGAATTGGTGCACATTCAAAATCGTTTATCAACCTGTCCCGTATACATTGTTTTGTTAGTTGAAAAAGCTTCATAACCAGGTTCAGTCAGTAATATTAAAGTATCAGAAACCAATCACTGAGCCAGTTTTCTCAAAATAACTGCTATATTCAAAACCCTTTGCCTTTGCTAATTAGATGTTGCTAAATAAAAAAAAGGTATGACATCCCAAATGGTACAACTACTGAAATGGAGTTTTTTTACAATATATGTAGAATGACAAAAATATTCGGATTCTAACATATCTGATGTTTCTTTTGCTAGGTCTGTCACCCCTGGAGGCATGCATGCACTACGGTTTGGAATTTAGTACAACTTTAAATGTAGAAAATACTAAGATATTGCAGTCAGATATATGCCTCAATTTTAAAAAATACAATGCCTCTGATTTTACGCAACAACAAACAGCTTGTAAAGAACATTCCAATAAAAGGTCAAACAAGGTGATCTTGTGGCTCACTACACATTAAGTCAGCTGTTAATAAATATAGCCCCGCACTCATGCTCAGTCCATGGTGCACGCGTACATCTATATGCACCAGCAATGTATAATGCATTATTTCATCAAGCTAAAAGAACTCTAAACATGTATGACTATGAAAAATAAATTTTCAGAAGAAGTTTATGGTAGAGCGCACCCAAAAAAAACATCGGCTTTATCTAGCTTCTAGCATTGTAGGTCATTTAGATCTTGACCCTTTTTATGATATGGCTTTGTCCTCCAAACACTATTCTGTAGATGGTTGCTGTCCTAAAATTATCTCATGTTAGAATACGCTATATACTATGCAGATTGCTGCCGAGTTCCTAAAAAACGACCCATGTACTGTAAGAAAGGGCTTATTCAAATACAGCACCAAAAAATTGAAGCGACAATGAAATGAAAGGACTAAGTGAAAAAGGTTGCTTCTGCATACTTCAAGTGTTTGACCATATACAGGAGCCTTTTCACCATGAACCAATATTTGAAGCGGTACTATACCAATTTTGACAGTTGCTGGGATTGAAAAAACCCTGAGGCGGTACCTCTGGATCTCCAGCTTGAACAACAAAGGCATCAGCTGCATAAGAACCAAAATGGTTCAGCAAAAGTTCACTGACCCGTAAGCACAATAGGCCATTTAAAATAGTGAACATTGCAATGGTTAGATGGAGTGTAATGTTTAAGAAGAGGTGTAAATCAAATTGGCGACACTTGGAATGGAATGGCAGCTGCTTTCAGTAATCAAATGTAGCCTGCATCATCTGATAAACTTTGCATCATGACTTACTGTTTCAACTGAATCGAAGGCTCCAACACCAGCAACCTCGAGGCTGTCAGTGATATCCTCCGGCGGCTTTTGAGCTTCATGAATAGCTTGATTATGTATTGGTAAATCACCCAGATCTATAATGGGAGGTCCAGAGATCAGAACAGAGACATCTGAAAGAACAGGTCCAACAGAAGAATCATAGGCGGTTAACCAAATGTTGGGGCAGCAGTGATTAATCCAACTAACAATGCAACAGAAAGTGCACACTCTTTCCAGGTAAAGGAGTTTCTTTTCTGCAAGGTAGTAAGCAAAACCTGAGAGATGTGACAAACTAACGCATTCTACAATGCAGTAGTAATCATAGCGCATGTCCTTAGCATAAGTGTTACCTTTGTTACAATGGAGATTCGGCCAGTACCTGTATCGTAGACCATATCACAATTCATAGATTAAATAATGGGGAGAGCTGCTGAAAAGCATCTAAATCTGAGCCCAATCGCAGCAATGGGGCACAAAACACTCCATGACATGGACACCTGTAATACTCGAAAACTTTGTCTGGCCTGGAAAAACTGCATAATCCAAAAATGGCATTGCCAAATTAGTAGTCGTTTTAGGACTGTCTCTTTCTAGAGGATTGGGTAAATAATTGTGGAGCAACAATTTATTTGAGACAAAAAATTGAGCGGAAAGCATCTAATTTTATAACTCAGATTTAAACAATTGGTTGGACCATCTGAGGAGGCTTGATGAACTAAGTATGGATAACAATTCATTGCCTAAGAAGCAAAGTATTGCAGTGTCAAGAATCCAACATATATGTACGACAACATTTTAGGAAATAGCACTTGGCATGAGTGGATTAAAAAAAATCTTGCCTCCTAATTTTAGTAGGCTGATCTGCTCACTGATAAGCAAATCCACACTGCCAACGGCAGAAGATTAACATAGAACTGAAAGCAAAGAGGAGAGGAGCGAGGCAGCACCTGCGTCGGTACTGGCTGGATTTGAAGCTGGGCCGGCTAGTGGCCGGGAGCAGGCCACGCCGAGGGGCACCCGCATCGGCGGCCACCGACGGGGCCCAGTCGCGCCGCTGCATCACAGACCACGGGCGGCATCCCGGACACCGGCACCGGCCACCGCGCGTCCGCGAGGGAGAGGGAATCTAGGGGAGGAGCCATGAGATGAGGGAAGAGAAGAAGAGAGCGACGATGTGGCCGCCGAGCGGAGCCACCGGCGCAGCCGGCAAGGAAAAGTCAGCTAGGGTTTCGTCGAGGCCGCGCGGATCGGCGGCAGGAGGCAGCGCCGAGGAGCCGAGGGTCAGCGGCGCCCACAGCCCCGTGCCGGAAGGCAGCCACCGCCGGAGCCCGTCCGGACGGCCACGCCGCAAACCGGGGGCGCCGCCGCCCCGGCCGCGCGCAGGTCGTGGAGGCGGCCGCGTTCGAGCCCAGCCGGTGCGCCGGCACGTAGAGAGGGAGGGAGAGGAAGGGGAGGCGCGGGTGGGGGCAGGGGCACGAGCGGCGGCGGTGCGTTGCGGGAGGAGCCGGGGAGGACGTGGAAGACATAGGTCGGACTCGATTTTTTTTATTTTTTATTTTTTCGCCGGAAGGCTCGGGAATCAGAATCGGAAGTCCGCGTATCGGCCCGTTCGGTAGGCTGGCTTGCCAGCACCAGCACCAGCCAACCCAGCCGAACGGCTGGCTTATATTCGTTGCCGCACTCCTATCGTCCGTCACTTTCTCTCCTTCCTCCCGTCGCTCGCGGTGGCTAGGGTTCCACGCCGACGCGCCGCTCCTCGCCTTCGCGCCGCGCTTGTCCGGGCGGAAGCCTGCGCCGCGTGGTCGGCCGCCGTCGGTGGCCCACAGATCCGGGCTCCGCCGCCTCTTTACTCCGTCCTCCCCGGTGGGGCTGCTGGGAAAGTGTCGTCTTCTCACCTTCGTCTTCGTCTTTATTGTCGACGACTTTGGCCAGCGAGGTAACCCGGATCCCTCGCCTTCGTCTTCTCACCTTCCCGCCTCTGAGGCGCAGCTGGTCGTCTCGTAGGTTGAGCTCCGCGCGGCTAGGGTTTCCCTCACTCACTCCGACCTTGGTGACAGTGGGCTCGGCCTTCCTCCCCGGACCCCGCCTCCATCAACGGCGAATCCTTCCACCACGGTAAGCCCCCCCACCCGACGCCTCGCACTTTGACCCGCCGGATCTGAGATCCAACGTGTACTCATGTCTCTTTTAGATCTATTATTACCAAACACTAAGTTTGATCTCTTCCCTTTGCTTTTTTGTACCTGCTAAGTTTTCTGTGGAATGCAGTCTTAAACTCCTAATGGTTTTCGTGCCTCCTTTGTCATTGGGTGCTTGCAAAATATTAGTTGAGTGCTACAACTAATGTATTCAGTCACTATCAGCATTAAATAGGATTCCATTTCATAGAAGTGCTACTTTTGTGAACAATATTCTTGCTATTTTACTATATCAGTAGGAGTTAACATATATAAGTTTGTTCATATCATCATATGTTCATCATATTTGACACTGGACCTTGATTTAATGAGTTTCTTCTATACTTGTATATTGAATGATAAGTATGGAGTGTTACAACTCATGCTTTTCATTGCATTCAGCATTCAGTTGGTTCATCCAAGTGGTTTGTTATTCTTGAACAATTAATAGCTCCTAGGTTACTCGGATACATATGTTCGGTGCACTTGTGTCATTTCATTCTCATGCAACTAGCTGTCGAATCATTTTGCTTGCATGGTCCAACTTTTACTAAGATTCCTGTTTGGTTTCATTGCGTTTTAGTCACTTATGACTTACGGGGGCATTTCTAAGGGTTGTAGATTATAAAATGTGCTTACCTATACCAACAATTTTACAATGTTTGATTAGGTTTTCAATCTTACAATTGACCTCTATGATTGAGCTGCAGACTTACAAGGGACAGTTAAATCCGGTTTGTGATCATTGGCCACGCTTAAAGCTGGCGGCGTCGCCATTTCGTCTTGCTCTCCAACTGGTGGCAAGCCCTACAACCTCTCGCTCAAAAGGCATAAACGGCCACATAAGGCAAGTTACGGATCACTGTGCTTATCTCGCTTCCTTTGTTGTTGTCTCCTTTGTGTTTCGTATTTTCTCCGAGGGGTTGGGTGTGGTGGACAATTAGAGCAGTTCAATTCACTCCTATAATTCACTTATGGGACTAGTGTTCTAGTTATTTAGTTCTTTGGTTTCTGTATGCTTCCTTCACATTGAGGCAATTAGTATTATCCATGATACAAGAAAGCATTATGAATCCATTAGTACATCTATTCCTGCAGATTTTTGCATTGCTTTGCATTACTAATAGCTTTGTCGATCCTTGAATCAGATGAGCCAGACCGTCTTTATGCAGGATGATGAGAGCAACCTCTCGCTTCTTGACCTAATCATCCAGCAGAAAGAGCTCACATCGACTTTGGACCGCCAAGCGGTCCAACCCAACTAGGTGGACCAATATCACTCATGACTTCAACAAAGTCACGGACCTTGGGTACAACAAGAAAGTGTGCGAACAAGTACAACGAATCTGAAGCGTTGTTACTTCAATCTGGCCTTGACGGCCGCGACCCATCTTGGGCTCGGCCGTGACCCATTGACCGGAGAGGTTACTGGTGACCTCGAGAGTTATCTGGCGCCCGGCCCGGGGTACTAACTACACGCATTTTTTGAATATTTTGTAGCAATTAGGTTCGTACTAACTCAATACTAACCCGACATCATCACCGCAACACGATGCGGGTGAAAGTAGCCAACCCGCTAGAAACAAGTTCAAACGGCCCCAATCTTTGTGAGCAACTGATCACAATTTTGGGACGCACCCCACGTGACAGGGGCCAGTTGGTATCGGCGGGGGGCCACCGACCCGACAAGTCACCTAGTAATGGAAGCCCTCGCACTCCTCCATCCTTATCGGACCACCAGCTCGAGCCACCTAGTACTCATCAGCCCTCGAAGAGAGTCCATAGAGAGTTTTCAGTGAACAGTCCTCGCAGCAAGAAGAGTAGCCAAACTCCATCTGTAGAAGAGTGCCTTGAAGACCTCGGCCACTTTCTCAGAGAGGCTAGGTCCCAGAAGGCCCGTCACAAAACCGATGCGCAGGAATTGGCCCAAGTCCGAAACATTCTGCTGCAAGATGGTATTAGCGAGGCTGATGAAGTATTCGTGCAAGCCCTGAACCTTTGCAGAGATAGGCTCAGTCGCCAGGGTTTTCTAGACATGGAGTCCAAAGAGGGCCGGCTGAACTGGATCAAAGTGACGTGGGCCTTTGTGTGCTCCAACAAGTCCCACTGATCAGCACATTCCTTTTTTTCGCCTGTTTGCGGATATTCACCATGTGCATGTTGAGTTCATTTGGTTTGTTGTATCCTTATGTTCGTTTTTTCGTATTACCAAAGACTATTGTTGAGAACTAAGTGCCTGTCGTTGTCTCGTTTTTTGAATAAAAAATTAGTGTACTGGTGTGAGTGTTGTAAACAAAAAAAGAGTGATGTAACAAATTAGTGTACTGCTGTGAGTGTTTTAAATAAAAAATTAGTGTACTTTTCCCATGTACGTTCCAACCTGTTTTGAAGGTGGTACCGAGTTCAGGTATCGTCATATGTTCATTTATTTGCACTTGTGTTGTTCCTAATATCGGCATTACAATCTGTCTTATGTATGCCCAATTGCAGGTAGCAGCATGAGCAGCATGAGCAGCACTGACGAGTCCTCCTACAGCGACACATCCAGTGATGGACCGAGCAATGTGACTGTGGCAAAGGCAAGACATTTGTCCCGCTCAAAGGGCTTCACATCACAGCAAAGGCCTGAGGTAAATCCTCCTTGCCCCATTCCTAAGCTAACGGGAGCCCAGTGGATGCAGCTTACACTAGCCGAAAATACCAGATGTTTAGAGAATTTGCGCATGTCGCGTGATGACTTCATGCATTTGCATGAAACCACCGCCCGTTTAATGCCAACAACAGATAAGTGCACCTCGGTAGAAGCTTTAGGCATGTACATCGGACATGTGCCCACCAATCGGCTAGTAGACGGTGCAAGTATAGGTTGAAAGGTCTTTAGATACGATTAGTGGGAAGATTACACTAGTTGTTGCAAGAGGTAATGTACCATGGGCAAACACGGTCTTAGTCCCAAAGAGATAGGAACTACGCACGCGTAAGCCACAAACTTCTTTGCACATTCACCATGGTTTGATGGTCGCATAGGTGCTATAGATGGCACGCACATAAAGGTTGAGGTTAACCGTCAAGCAAAGGCTGATTTCTACAATAGGAAAGGCGAAACAACAATTAATGTTTGTGCCATCGTGGATATGGATGGCCGTTTCACATATGTGGAAATTTTGGGAAAGGCGGGGCATGTCATGACATGGCGGTGTTGAAAAGACTGTCGGGACGACGCTTGTTCCCACATCCCCGAAGGTTCGTGATGCCTTGTTGTTCAGATACCCTATTTGTTTCCTTGTAGTACATGCATTGAAGCATACTTGTGGTTAATTTGCTAAGCCATCGGATTTGTCACTTTGCTATGATAGGCGGTACTACCTAGCGGACAGCTGGACGGGTTACAAGGAGATGGAAGGCTACATGACCCCTACAAAAAACACAAGGTATCACATCAATGACTTTAGAGGCATAGATATGCAAACAATTGAGAGAGGAGGAGAAATTCAACTACATTCATGCTAGATTGCGGAATGTAATTGAAAGGAGGTTTGGGGTGTTGAAAAACGCTGGCAGATTCTTGATGGGGTGCCTCTCTTGCAGAGGGATGAAGTAGGCTATGATAATCATTTCATGCTTTGCTTTAGATAATTTTTTTGTGGATGCGTAAGTATGGCTGCAGCAGATCCACCCTCCTATGAGTGCTTGGGATTGGGTTGAACTAAATCGCAACCCCTATCTCTGGACTTAGGGAGTTAATATCCATGGCGGTGTGGAGTGTTGTCGATGTAGGCCAAGGATGTTGTTTCACAAACCAAGAGTGTAGGTACAATTCCTTAGCAGTCTTGTTGTGTGCATCTG